GATTGTATTGTCAACAAGTTTGGCAGGGAATTAGTACAAACATGTATCAACACAAACACTTGTATTCTTAACGGTAGAATCATTGGTGACATATTTGGCCATTACACATCCTACCAATATAACGGATGTAGTACTGTGGACTATGTTATTACAAAGTGTGAGGATTACACCATGTTCAACAGGCTGAAGGTCCATCCACTCACCCACATGTCGGATCACTGTTCAATACTGGTCAACATTAGCTGTCCCTTAATATCAGAAGAGAAGAATTCAAGACCTCATCCTTCTAAGATAAAAGCAGAGAGAATCTTCAAACTTGTATGGAAGTCAGAGACAGGAGCCATGGAAAAACTTCGTTCATCACACTCCCGTTCACTGGCCGACTACTTCCTCATGTCCCCCAAAAGTGATGTGGACTCAGCAACAGCAGACCTCACAAATATTTTGTTAAATGCAACGAAAGGTACAGTGAAGCTTGTTCAAGTGAAACGGAAGACAAAAAGGAAAAATAAATGGTTTAACTCAAGTTGTAAAGCACTAAAACAGGCTATGCTCTCAGCGTGGATGGATCACAAACAGTTCCCACTTAATAGAGCGTTACAAAAGAAATTCTATGAGGCCAGGAAGAAATATAAGAAAGGAAGGAATTGGGCAACTAAGAAGTACCATGAGACCCTACTAGAAAAACTGGATCACCTTTCCACAACTGATTCCCAAGCTCACAGGGAAAAGGGAAGAGAATCATGACAATATACCCAAAGAAGAATGGGAGAACCATTTCACTCAACTAAATACTGAGGTCCGTGACAGTACAGGATTCCACAAATATGTGACAAAATCAGTATCAGACTGTGGAAATAGCACTATATCATCTAATTTCCATCTCAACAAACCTATTGCAGCAGATGAATTATGCCAGGCTATCCGGAAACTGAAGAAGGGAAAATCTGGGGGCCCTGACCTGGTGCTTAACGAAATGATCCTGTGTTCCTCCTCTATTCTTATAGATCACTACCTTAAACTCTTCAACACCATCTTAGATGCTGGCACTTTCCCCTCACAATGGAGATCGTCATACATCGTACCTGTCCACAAGAAAGGGGATCTTAATGATGTTAACAACTACAGAGGCATAGCTCTCGGTAGCTGTCTCTCAAAACTGTTTTTATCAATACTTAATACAAGAATTACCAAACATATGGACTTGAAGAAACACTATGACACAAGCCAGGCAGGATTCAGGAGCAACCACAGAACAACTGACAATATGTTTATACTTAGAACAATCATACAGAAGTACAGGCAGTCCAAGAAAAAACTATATACTTGCTTTGTGGATTTTAGCAAGGCATTTGACTCGGTGTGGCGGGAGGGACTCCACTATAAACTGATAAAATATGGCATCACAGGAAATATCCTGAATGTTTTAAACAGCATGTATTCAAACGTCTCCTACATCATCAAGACCCAGGATGGCGTCACTCGTCCTGTCAAATCCAACATTGGTGTCAAGCAAGGTTGTGTCTGTAGCCCAAACCTATTCAATATCTACATTAATGACCTAAAGGACTACTTGTCAACTAATGATACTGCTGCCCCATCGCTAGACGGCGTCCCTTTAACACACTTACTATTTGCTGATGACCTGCTACTGCTGTCACAGTCAGCAAAATGTCTCCAGACCAGCATAAATACTTTATGCAGATTTACAGAGGACTGGAAATTAAAAGTTAATATATCAAAAACAAAAATAATTATATTTGGCGGTTCCAAGAGTGACCAGAAACTTCATTTTAAGTTAGGGACAGCGTCACTAGAAATCGGTGAATCATACACCTACCTTGGGGTAATATTTCATCAAAACGGTTCTTTCAAGAGTGCAATCTCAACCTTGAAAGGAAAGGCTATGCGGGCTTGGTTCAAAATTCAACACAGCCTGACAACAAATACCCATTTATCCATAGAAGTCTTACTACGACTCTACCATGCCCTAGTGGTTCCAATAGCAACCTACGGTTCTGAAATCTGGGTCTGTCAGCTGTTTAAATCTACTTCTGATCCACTGATAAACTGGCACAGACAACAATGTAACAGTACCTCCATCAAAGTCGCGAAGGGTCTCCTCAGCATTCCAAAAAGAAGCAGCAACATTGGTTCCCTTAGTGAGTTAGGTATCTACCCATTATCTCTCCAAATCTATATCAACATGTTCAAGTACTATATACGTCTTGGTAACATGGATCGTGGTAGACTGCTCTATGCAGCTTTTCAGGAGGACAAGAAACTAACTAATTCCTGGTTTTCACACATCGAGTGTCTTCTCCAAAGTGTGATATCTGAAGGTCCCCATCGAAACAATACCACCACTCAGCAATTTTCCAAAAGCCTGATATCAAAGTTTGAAGATTTTTATCTCATTGAAACTGACCAGATTCCAACCGGTGTAAACCATATAAGCTGCGACATCTGGGGCAGATAAATGACAAATATGGATTAAAAGATTACCTCACAACTGTAAAGAATACAAGTTACAGAAGGGCCCTTACCAAGCTCCGACTGAGTCTTCACAGCCTGGAAATTGAGAGGGGGAGATACTCCAACACCCCAGTTGAAAATAGGTTCTGTCCGCACTGTGACTGCCATTCCGTGGAGGATGAAGAACACTTCCTGCTTTCATGCCCACTATATACGGGCCACAAAGTTTTAAAAAATTCAAAGGAGCCACTTGGCTCCTAAATCTTTTTTTCAAGGAGCCAAATAGAATTTCAAGGAGCCAAGGCAAAATGTAAGGAGCCAAAAGTAATGACTTGTAATTTAACTGAGCTTCTGCATAACAAAACACACAAAAATCCATTAGTTTGAATAATCAGTTTTATATCATGAACAACAACTGTTGTTGAAGCTTTTGAGTTTTTCAGACAAACAAGCTTTAGAACATTGTGTCAGTAACATCATCTGACAGTTTAACGGTGCCAGTTGCAGGTTTTGGTTCATCGAACGTGTCGACAGACGATGAAACTTCCGTGTCAGCTTCGCCATTCAAAGCATTCCGTATTTTCTTGAGTATACTGCGCATTATCTTCCAAAAAAAACCACAGCTGTGTAGAAGGGGGTGCGCATTATACACGAATTAATGAGTTTTGATGTTTTTCCCCCATGGAAAGACATTACCGTGAGCACGTAACACCGGAAATACCATGTCAACAAATCCATACTGAAGTACGCAAATTAATCATGTAATTACACTGTCTGACTATACAAAGTGTTCTTTGTATATCTGGACTTATGTTTGTAACTTATTTCATTAATTTTATTCAAAATTACTTTTAATATTGTTTTAATTAATTTCGGCGAAATCGTGTGTGAAGCGATCGGAAGATCGCACAACTAACCGTTATTGACAGAAACCACGGTCAGATTACAGCTATTGACGCCTTGAAACGAACTTTAGTTGACAGAGAATGGATACATATGTCATAAATGCCATACTTTGACTCGTTAAAAGTCATATTTGTTTTTGTTGGACGATTCCATGTCAACACGTAATTCTCGCGATCACGTGCGCGGGAGCCTTGACGGTGACTGGTCAGACTGGTTCCATGTAAAACCATGTAATACCCGGTAATAGCAATCAGCTGCTTCGCTTAGGGTTATTATTATTTCAAATATGTTTAGTAAAAGCTGCATCTAAATTAACAAGATATTGGAATATATTATTCCTGATAAAAAAATAGTTTCAGATACAATTATTGCCGATCCTTGCATTAAAACCCTGTAAAGTTATATCATTGGGTGTGTCTTGACTGAATCACCGGTAAATTCCAAGAAAATGTGTGTACAGCTGATTGCTGTGTCCGGCTTAGTTTACAAGAAGATACACATGGTAATCTTAATCCCTGGATATAAATCAATGCCTAGCAGAACAAAAAATACAATTTAAACGGTAAATCAACATGTCTGGTGATTTTCTCTCTAAAATCTCGAATTTGTACTGACAAAGTTTCTCATCACCCGTTCGTTTGCCGGACTTCGCTAAAGGGGTAGATATATCTACGGTGTAATTTTTTTTCTGCGCTTGAAAGATCTATCTATGAATCCGCTAGAGAGGGGTGCGCACTATACTTAAGAAAATATGGTATACATCATTTGCCGATTGACAATGATTTGTTGTTGTTTTGACTTGCGCAAATATGGAAAAATTCTTCGTGTTTTTGAATGGCGAAACGACCGCCACAGCTGTCACCTGGGCGGATGTCGTACAGGGCATGCGTGGGTACTAAACTCTTAATATCGTTAGTGCATTACTTAATAACGGAAAGTGCTTCCTTCATTCCAGGTATGGAGCTTCATATCGAAAGCGAAAACAGTACACATGGCCTAGCAGTGATCTAGTCGATGTTATTATGTTCTGATATCGATTTTTTTCACTGAAGTTACCGCACTTATATTAAAAACGATCTTTTTTAATATCTAATGACAAGAGATATTTAGTCGCCAAACTTAATTAAAGACAAGGAGCCAATTGGCGACTGACATGAAAATACCAGTCGCAAAATACAAAACTAGATCGCCATGGCGACCAATTTAGTCGCAACTTTGTGGCCTGCCTCTTAAAACACTTTATGAATCCACCAAAAGAATGGTCAAGTCTTGTTGCCCGGACTATATACCACATGTTCAAGCTGAGGCCATAAGAAAATTCTATTATATTCAATCCAATTAAGTGTACGCTGCCAGCAATAACCTAATATACATAAATGTTTATATGATGTAAATGAAATAATGCCTCTATACATAATGTACATCATATACATATACCTGTCATATCTATAATTATATACATGTTCATATGTAGATAGTCTGTACCCTGCCCTATGAGGGTGTTCAGTACAATAAAATTCTATTCTATTCTATTCTATTCACCATCTGGCCTTCACACCATGAGCTGAGTGAGATCCAACCTAATAACTGAAAACCTTGTAAAACTTATTTGCTTTCAGCTTCACCTGCATAACACAGCTGCTGCCAATAACACTACAAGCTGGAGGCCAACTGCCCAGTGACTTGGTCGGCAAGGGCGAAATGTTATGTGATACAGTTGCATTTACATTCAATTTACAAGAGCCATATCAAGATTACCAGAATGATGGACCTCCTGTAGCCATCATGTGGCTCTCATTCCAACCTCATGCATGTAACCAGAAATCCTTTGGTAATTTTCTCATGTGTCTGATCTACATAAAATAACCTCAAATTCTCCCAATTTTATCACAATAAATTAGATTTGGTTAATCCACCAAAAAGCAATATACCGTATTCGACGTAATAAGCGCCCCGCTCTAATAAGCGCCCACAGCGATATTTGCTAATATATTGGCTAGTGAACAATCCCAATCAGCACCCCTTCCGATTGATCCATGTACACAAGACTTATTTATTCGTGAATAATACACACTCGTGTGTTATATCACCCTTAATTATGGGCAATTAAATTCTTGAAAAATATATCTGTCGTATGTAAACATTTCAGGCTGTTAGCATAAACCACAAAATTTACGATCTTTCAACTCAAAATAATATTCTAATAAGCGCCCCCTATTTCTAATTTTGAGAGCGCCCTGGGCGCTTATTACGTTGAATACGGTATGTTGATATTGACCATTGTCCTTATCATATAACTGACCTGTATTCAATTGATAACTCTCATAATAATCAGTCGATCAATAATTCTAGACTGGTCATGTGACCTTCAGGGTTCAATCCAGGAATATTCTGACATGATGAAATATCAGAGGTAAACCCATACAGCACAATGTTAAAATGCCCCATTGTATTTGAAAATGAGGGTCTTTTTTTAAATTTAGGGGCTAAAAGCACAAGGCCCCATACTAGAATTATCCCTGGACCTTTAACCTACTCAACATTTAGCAATTTCTCTGGTTAATATCAAACTTGCCCTGTTTTCTTAAGGGGCTATCGATAATTTGACATTTGTGGAAGTTATTGTCCAGGAATGAACCATGATGGTGGGATGTACATCGTGCCATTAGCTCTATATTTTGAAAACATCAAAAATTAATTTTTGTTAGTGCATCTCTTTCACCACCTATCAAAGTGTGTCCCACATACACGTGCGGATTATTCCAACATGGCACAGATTTCCCTAGCATACAGACAATCTCAGCCACAGAAGATATTTTGTTTCACTAATAACAGTCAACTAATCCATTTTACAGAACTAAATCACTTCTTACAACTCATATTGCCATCCGTATCCAAACATCACCATATTAGCCTTCTTAATGTGGCTTAGCTTCCCTAAATAAAGCAAACAGCGCAGCCGTCTGAGCCAGCCAACCTTCTCAATCACCGAATCCTACAGCACACTGCCATATTTCTGATTACTTCCTAATCCAAGTCTTGTGGCCACGGCGATATCAAACATGATTCTAACTGAAGATCTTAAGATGAGAGCTGCATACAGACAACCTTGATGGCAGGACCTTGTCAAGGAGTAGGTCTGATGTCCACCACTGACGCTATCATCAGCACTCCAGGGGTTGGACATCTATGTGATTAACCCTTATTACAAGTGTCCTACTCCCAGTGCAATAATTACAGGATGATGGGAGATGCTGCTAGTGATTTACACTTTGTTCAGTGTAGGGAGTGTAGGACTATCTGGCCAGTCTGAGGATGTGTATGAGATTGCTGCAGGTGACAGCGCCCTAATAAAATGATGAACAGTTTGATTTGTACTCTCAGAAACCTGGAGACCAGAGGTCCTGAATCACCAACTTTCTCATTAACTTCGAATTTGACCTGCTGATTGGAGTCTGGACAAAGTGAATGACACTTCAGTGTCCCTGAAACAATGGTGAATCCTAGTACTGAATCATACTGCAGTGGTCTGCCAACAGGTAACCCTGGTAGGATGAGGCAGGGAAGCATCAACCAGGCTGAATACCAGTTGTCTCTCTTTTAGCAGGTACTGCCAATCACATTTGGGACCAATTGGTGAAACTAGTTTAGGGTCATTTTCAGCAGAGCTCAGTCTTAAAACAATGTCTGTTTTTGTATATCACTGCACTCAGCAATATTCCAGCTGTATGACAGCAGTCTGTAAATAATCAAGTCTGGATCAGACAATCCAGTGATTGACATCATGAGAATCGATGAGCATTAATAGCTAAGCCTTCTAGATTTCAAGAAACTTTACCAGAAAAAATATGGATTTGTGGCGTTCGTCACAGACAGCTATGATTTATAGCTGATGGCATTCAACTTTTGTTGTATCCATTTCATTTGACTTGGTAAAATTTTCTGTTTCAGATAACTTGATAACTGGGAAATCTCGAGGGCACAGAGGATTATAATTCTTGTCCTTGACAACATCCAGTATTCTGCTCATACACAAACTAACGTATCAATATTTCAGCTTCCAGAACATCACTGATTTCATGCCAGAAATTGATCTGTTCCAAGTGAATATTTTTCCAACATGTGAAATAAATCTGTCACAGACATCAAGTACAGACCACCTGAGTATACTAGATATTTTTCAAAAACCACAATCATCAATACATTCAGCTCTCTGAACACCATGGAAACCGAACCCAGAAGTATACAGTTTAGAGACCTAAAACATGTAAAATCAAAGCCAGTCTGACTGCTGACAAGGAAAAATTATTTTTTTGTGAAAAAATTAAAATTTACCATGCCTGTTTCCTAGCCGATCAGAAATTTTACCTATTCCTCAAAACAATGGTAACAAAGAGACAATCTTAAATAGTTTTCACAAATGAACTTTCACTGTTTCAGTGTAATGGTAATTGCTGGTAATTTACAAAACTTAACCCTCTTTGTCTACTGGATCAGCAGCAAGTATGACATTATTGTCTTACAATAGCAATCTTGACCAAACCTCCATCTACATTTATGAATAAATACTGTCAAAAACAGAATGATGTCTTAGTGTGTTTGTTATGGCAAGAGGCTGGGACGTTCCTAACCTTGCTGGTTAAGTTATAGGACCAGCAAAGTACTGAATATCATATTTTTAAGTGCTGCCTGTCTAATGAACTGGTTAATTTATAACCGAACGGCAACATTGACTTAGCTTGACAGATTTTACCTCAACAACATGATGGTACACCATCCTGAACATGACTCAATGTAGTAAACACAAGCTACTTTCCTTAAGACTACCCAGATATTGAACACAAGTAATAGGCAACCTATCAAAGCAATATGTTTCACCTGAAGGATACCTTTCATACCATGTCATACGGGGCAGACTGTTTGGGACAAATTGGTAAGTAATTCATATAGTTTGTCTGCCCTAAGCGCCAAGCATATGTGGGACTTGCTAAGCACATGTGGGAGACCCACGAAGATCCAGGGTAGAATAGGTCTTCAGCAACCCATGCTTGCCGTGAACGGTAACTATACTTGTCGTAAGAGGGGACTAACGGGATTGGGTGGTCAGGCTCGCTGACTTGGTTGATGCATGCCATTGCATTCCAATTGAGTGGATCGATGCTCATGATGTCAATCACAGGAATGTCTGGTCCAGACTCGATTATTCTTCAGACCACCACCGTATAGCTGGAATTTAAAAAACCAACAAACATACAAAGCATATGTGGGAGTCTACTCCGCCTTAAATTCTGAGAAGATTGAAACACAACTTAGCGCCATAAGCATTATTCCAGCTAAATCCCATCCACAAATAAACCAATGTCTGAAAGCATGAACAATCAGCAATGCAATCGGGGTATGATGACACACAATCAGCTAAGTCTTTCTGCATTTCAGTCAGCTATTACAAGCATGAACCTACTCTCACCTGAAATCAAGAGGAAGATTGGGCTTGTGAATTGAGATTTATTGTGAATTGCGATTTATTTCCTACGTTTTACAATACTACGATACTGACACCATGTCACACTAATAACTAGCTTGACACATCCTAACCATATTGGGAACAGCACTCTGGTCTTATTCATGACATTAACCACTAGGTGACCCCATAGCTCTACAAGAAGGTTCAAAACTATATAGGTGAACCGTGTAAAATCAATCACAGCTTAACTTCACCCATTACCAGTAAAAATTACAGCCCTGGCATACGAAGTCTATTGTTATGAGATGGAAGGATCATGTTTGGGAGGTTTCTCGTATGCCCTTCAAGCATTGGGGGCCATATTTTAATTGTGCCATTATGATTTTTACCATTCCCACAGGCACTCCAGAACAAGGAACTTCGAACCTTGTCAACTGAACAAGAATCAACCAGAGATTCCGGATACACTAACTAGTCTTCCAGCTGTAGGCTAGTGTTGATGTCTAATTCTGAGTTACAAGTCGATGATTTCATGATCCTCATTAAGCTGCTTCATATTACTTCATGGCTCAATGGTAGTCTGTCTTACAGACCCTGATACAAATATATATCAAATACAGCCCATGCAAGTCTATAATGTTTGGCAAGTCTAGATCACTGCAGTATCTGAAAATGAAGAGAGTCACTTGGCTCCTTTTTATTATATTTTTATTAAGATAACTGAACAACTGTTTTTTTATGTACGATATGTTCATTTCAGAGACTAGATGTTAGTCTAGGCTCAATGGCTGAGTCCCTCTTAGCAATTTGTTCCATATTCTCTATGTCCCTTAAGCATGTTAAGGCAATTTGTTCAGGTATTCTCTATGTTTTAACACTAAAATCTGCTGGAAAAGATTTTGGCAGACACTGCATGTTTTGGGGATATCTGAAGCACGATCAATGTCAGTTTTCTGGTGGTCAGTCAAGAAACCAGCGCAATACCAACATAACCTAACCATGTTAACCAAGTGAATCTTCAAGCCCCCTCTGACTCCTGACGGCCCGCCAGTAACACAACGCCAGCAATCAAGGCAATAAAGTCGTTATCATTGTTGGTCTGTGTGGGAACGGTGTTCACCACAGACACACAAATACCTGGCAGAACTTCAAAGACCATAAGCAACTAATCTAATTGAACAGCAACTTCCACAGCCTTGTAGGAAGAAAGAAGCAATCTCCAATATGTCTACCGAACATTTTCTAGTTTACAGCAAAGCCCCATCGGTGACGCAGGCCGGCAACAGTTTACAAGGAGTTGATGGAGATGTGATCCCGTTGTGTGGTCTCTCAGTTCCCGGGCTTAAGGCTGACCAGCATGAAAGAAGTAGAGGGTGAAGAGTCTGGTCTTGCTGAGAAACTCAGAGTAATACAAGCAGCTAGAATCAACTATCTTATATTTTTTCCAAGACAAAAATTAAACTACAAAATACAAGCATGGCAATACTAATACAGGATTTTACCTTGACATACAAAACTAAGGGCCCAGAGGCCTCCAATTACTCGTTTCAAGGGTCCTTTCAGTTGTTGTTGTTGTTGTTTGTTGTTTAACGCCGCACTCAGCAATATTCCAGCTGTATGACGGCGGTCTGTAAATAATCGAGTCTGGACCAGACAATCCAGTGATTGACATCATGACCATCGATCCACGCAATTGGGATACGATGACATGCATCAACCAAGTCAGAGAGTCTGATCAGCCGATCCCGTTAGTCGCCTTTTACGACAAGCATAGTCGCCTTTTACGGTAAGTATGGGTTGTTGAAGACCTATTCTACCCCTGATCTTCACGGGTCCCTTTCAGAAAATATGAGGGTCCTGTAAAGAAATGAAATGGTACAGTGTACTGCACTGTAAGATTTAACCATAGTATACTGCACTGTAAGATTTAACCATTACTTTAATACTTGTCACGAATGTGGTTCAATGAATATTTTTGTGCGTCCTTCAGGATGCAAAATATATTTATTTCTGCGTCCATTCCATACATGTGTCGTACTGGACACACATTTCTGCATAAAACCCTGCCAGTCCTACTGGAACTTAACCATTTCCAAGATTGGTTGTCAAGACAGACGTCAAAATCTTAAAAGAATGGATTGTTGAGAGTGAGTGTGGTTAAAAACTGCTTTTTAGCAATATTCCAGCAATATCACACTGGGCAACACAGGATGGCTTCACATAGTGTACACATTTAGGAATCAAACACACAAAAGTTAGTGGTGTGACAAGTGATAGCCTAACCCACTGCCCTCATTTTCAAGGCGAGGGAACAAATTGCCAAGAGGGACTCAGCCATTGAGCCATGATGTGATATGAAGCAGCTTAATGAGGATCATGAAATCATCGACTTGTAAGTCAGAATTAGAGATCAACACTAGCCTACAGCTGGCAGACTAGTTAGTGTATCCGGAACCTCTGGTTGGACCGTTCTTGTACATGAAATCATCGACTTGTAACTCAGAATTAGAGATCAACACTAGCCTACAGCTGGCAGACTAGTTAGTGTATCCGGAATCTCTGGTTGGACCGTTCTTGTACATGAAATCATCGACTTGTAACTCAGAATTAGAGATCAACACTAGCCTACAGCTGGCAGACTAGTTAGTGTATCCGGAACCTCTGGTTGGACCATTCTTGTACAGTTGACAGGGTCCTTGTACCAGAGTGCCAATGGGCACTGTAAAATCATAATAGCACAGTGATGAAAGTACATGAAATAAACCTCTTCTGAAGGTGAGTTTGCAATAAATGTATATTCCAGATCACAGCCATGTAAGACCAAGTGACATATTTATTGTAACTGAACTTTGATCTTGTTAGTAATGAGACCGGCATGGGAAGTATTACAATTGAGACAGAATGTAAAGGTCTTGTGGTATTGTCTTTGATTTAATCACGACAGACCACTATAATTAGATTGGATGTCTATTTATAGCATCATGTCATTCAAACCAGACTCGAAGCAAAGCTATGGTGGAGAATGAGTCCAGGGTATTTATCATCACAGAATGGAGAATTAATACACAGGATTATCGACAAGGTTGTATCTCCATTACGGTATATGAAATGACTGGTCCTAGCTCTTCATGATGTATGGTGTGTGTTTCTTATGTAATACCAGTATGTACATAATATAGCTAGTATTGATATGGGGTCGTCAAGTATACAGAAATGATGAATAGCTACACTTCAATTTCAAACAGCTTTGAGTATATGATATTTGACAACACTATCAGACTAAAACAATATATGTGCTAATTCAGACAATGTCAGAACAATGTGTTTTAAAAATTTAACTGTGAAAACGCATGTCTACCAATCTTATGAAGAAGAAATTGATCGGTGGGTTCTGATGAAGTATCCCACACCAGAAACACTGTCTGACTAGTATTACTATAAAACATTCATTGGAAGAAATGGTGCTGTAATCATTGTAGAGCTTCTTCACCTGCCACAGAGGGG